ACCAGAAATGGAACTTTTATTTCCCAAATTGCCAATAAATGACTAAGTGACCACAATATAATTAAAATTGTAGAAATAAAAAGATTCAAGAAACTAATGGTAGCCTAATTTTCATTTAGTGAGTTTACATTCTATTAAAATAAATAAAATGAATGGTGTTTCAAAGTTTGTAATAACTGAGGTAATTTTAAAAGCATCATTACAAAAACAATTTGTGGTTTAACAAAATTCCCAAACTTGTAGTTCATCGATTTAATTATAATTTTATTGTATTTAAACTTCATATGAAGTTATGAGAGTGATATCTTCATTTGACTGCATTAACTTAGAAAAAAGACATCTATTATTGGTTACACAAAGGAGATATTTAAATTCTAGACAGAAAAGCATCTACGCATGTCAGCTTTTCATCTTGGTGAAAGTCCTACAAAACAGCACTAACAATCAGTCACTAAAGTTAGGAACTTGTCAGTAAGAAGACCACTGCTGGGCTTTCTTCCCCCAACACTGTCGCCTTCTTAGACTCTCTTCCTAGAGCTTCACGTTAATTTTATTAATGTTTTTAACCTAATGTCTGTGAAATTTTTATTGCTCCCCAGATGACAACTGATCTGAATGTAACCACACACCTCTTTGTTCTGCAGTATTTGTCACAAACTATTATAAATTATCATACTGATAGGTTGCATTCCTGGGAAACTGGAAAAGTTCCATAAATTCTAACTACTGTATCAATGACATTCTTGTTTATTATGCAGATATAAAGTTTTATGAGATTCAAGATCCCTGCCTTACCATACTTGACAAACATGGAGGATTCTGCTGGTGCAAGAAAGAGAAATCATCATTCTTCCCATTTCCTTAGCCTCACCTGTTATATGAACATAACAATAAAACCAGGCAATACATCTAGCTAGAAATTCTAGCATAATGTTAGCCCTGCAGACAGATGCTCCACTTACTGCTCTGCTGAATGATTGATCACTACCCCTTGTTCAACAAAAGAATTCAGGGAGTTATAATATTGTGTTTGTTAATGCTTATTTGTAATGATACACTATTCAGTGGTGGCATAAACTTAGATTATTGCATTTTACAACTATTAGGTGCAACTTGCACATTAATTTTCCCTAAGGAAACAGCATCCCGGCCCTTTGACAGGCACTATAAAAACTTCTTGTAAGGTTAGGTCCACAGTCTATTTATGTACTGGTTGCAGTCTTGGTTTTAGTCACATGAAAAGTTGTGATAAATAAATCACATAAATACATTCTATTGTATTGTGAAAATTATGAAATAGTTTTTATTTAATTATCAGTAAACCAGAAAAAATTTAACTAAAAATATTTATTCTACCATAACTGATGTATTTAATTACTTATCCATCCCTATACTTACAGAAAAATGGTTGTTTACTTGTGTCTGAAGGATGTTTCTCAATAAGCAAATGTGCTAAGGAATCAATTTCTTGAACTTTTACATGATAAAAGTTGACTAAACACATACTGACTATATTAACAAAAAATTCAGGGTGTATTACATGCAGATCATCCTATTACTGGATCAGTATAGTTAGTTTGACATATGCTTAATTTCATATTTCCAAATGTTTTAGCAACCACCAAGTTGCTAAAGATATAAAAATGATAACTTCTTTTGAGGGCAGCTTTAATTTTCCAAAGGGCTCCCCTACCCACTACCTCATTGTCCACTACAGTAACATTAATACATTGGTACAAGTACACATTATATAGCTGAGAAAGGGAAAGATATTAAATATCTCAAGACAACAGCTTGTTCTTAACAGAAATATAACAAAAAGCTCTCTGAATGTAGCTTATTATAACTAGATCTATATCATTTCAAATACAATTTTGGAACTAGCCCAATATAAATTACAAAAAAAAAAAAAAACCAACAAAAAACAAAAAAACAAAAAACCAGAAGCCAGAAAACTATGTTTTTGTGCACCTAACATAAACTTTTGAAGTCTATAACTGTGTTGTTCAAGAGCTTCTGCTGGCTTCCTTTTTTTTGTAGGAAATTATAACCCCCTGTAAATGTTAAAGCTGTTGATTCTTCTCACAACCTTTTTCTAAAGGAGGTAAGAATTGCACCACATTTTGTAGAATTTCAACTACAACCTTCAATAACAACCAGGAGTCATGTGGACCAACCTGGAAAGACAACAACTGCAATGTCTCAAGCTGGTTTCCCAATATTGTTTTCAGAATTTTCATTGATAAAACAATCAGCTAACACCACTTCGAAACACAGCACAAAGATACGTTTCCACACCATAATGTTCATTGACTTCATCAGGCTACAGATAACAGACTTTCAAGGCTGGCCAGGAGATGGCACCTTCACAGAGAACAAACCCTCAGTTACTGTAATTAAGAAATCACTTTACTCAAACATTTAAAAAACCTCATCATCATAATTACAGAAACAATGTTCTTGGCCATGTCAGTTTCTTGAATACCTTGCTATATCACTAAAATTGTCTCTTCCTAGAAAATAAAATTATCTGTTTTTCTTTTCATCCTAAAAAAAAAGAAAACTACCTAAAATCCTACATGTCCTACCTCAGATTGTGGTATGGCAAATCATTATGTAAGGCTTACTGTGTGCTAGACACTGCTGTGAGCCCTTTACATATATTAACACACTCAAATTGCTTCCTCTTTTTACACTTCTACTCCAGTTGTGCCCTGGAGTTGGCTTACACCAGATCTCTCTACACATCTCTTTGCAAGTCTGTGTATAGCAACATCACATGGGTAATCTGAAATTGGCCATGGAGTATTTATACTACAGAAACTGGCAAATATTACACATCAGGACTTGACTGTACACATCTCTTTGCAAGTCTGTGTATAGCAACATCACATGGGTAGTCTGAAATTGGCCATGGAGTATTTATACTACAGAAACTGGCAAATATTACACATCAGGACTTGACTCCCCCCTCCCAAGATCCATTTGTCAAAGGTGGTATTTACCAGCACACCCTTGCTAATAACAACGGACTATTCTGAATTCTTTAACTACTATATCACATATACATGTGGTCATGATTTTCAGATCAAGCAACAGTAAATATAAGTTTATTGAAATTTAATAGCACCTTATTTGGGGGAATAATCCTATTTCTTGGGTATGTTTCATCAGTTTCTTAAAATATCTCCTAAAGCAGTTTAAGTATTGTCAAAAGCCAAAAAATAAAATAGAGTACAAGTCTCTAAGTTGTCTAGGTGATTGACATTGTTAAAACCACCATACAGAATATTGTAGCAGCCACTGTAACACTCTATTAATGACAACTTTCACACAAGATTAAAAAGTCAATTTAATGCTTGGAAGCACTTCTAAATCACAGAACAAAGATTAAATTAGAATCGGCATAATTTTATTGCACTGTAGTGTATGTTGATTATTTGAAAATTGATCAACAGTATACGAATGTATGCTAATTCTCTAGGCACTAGAATGTTGAATTAACCAGATGAACTCATTACCCTGTCCATGAAAAACAGGTTTACCCCACCAGTTCAACAGGCTGGTGAGAACTTCCTACAAGTGGAAACATTTTAGTATTATTGTGTTCTTACCTGAAAGGGTTATGTGTTTGCAGATAGAAGAGTTTTAATAATGAGTGTGCCTGCATAATAATGTTTATATCCAAAGAAATTAATAACCTATATACATTATACAAAATTATATTAAACTGATCCATTTTAAAACTTGGGAAACATAGCCCCTGAAATGCACTTTAAAATTTAGGTTTAACTAGATTGTTTTTCTTTGCTAAAACTATTTATTTGTCTAAACTTCATTAAAAATTGATATTCAGGTTCAAGTCTCTGGAGAACACACTACAAACAGTAGGGCAGAATGGGATAATGTGGACAAGATGGAGACAGGTGGTCGACAGGATGTCCAGAGACAAAAGTAAATTCTGGATCTTCATGGACTGCTGCCTGAAACATTAACACATATCTTCCATACTGTGGGAAACCGCACAGCAGTTTTTTCACATAAAGTGAGGAAATATAATTTATACCGTATAGTGACAATGTTTTCATAATAATAAAATCTGGCACAGTAACCTAACAATGCTTAGTGACTTAACAGAAGGAAATAGTAAGCAGATGGATGATACACTGATTCATCTTTGAGTCCCATTGTATTCATTTTGCATTAATAATTATTTTTCACATCTTCAATAAGATACTTGTAATCATTAATCTACTATAAAAATCCTTTCATCCAACTTACCCTATATTCCTTTTACTTTTAATGACAACTTTTTTATTCTTTCCCAAAGACATGTTTATTGATTTTAGAGAGAGGGAAGAGAGGGAGAGAGAAGGGGAGAGAAACATGGATAGAAGAGAGATGGACGGTTGCCTCTCATTTGAGCCCCAATAAGGGAATGAACCTGCAACCTAGGCATGTGTCCTGACCAGGAATTGAACCCATGACTCTTCCCCAGCGACCAAGCCACACCAACAAGAGCTCAATGACAATTTTCTTTTGTCATGCCAGTAAGATACAGTTCTTAAATCAAAAAATGTGTCACGTATTTGTTGCAAAAATATCCAATCTCATGGTCTTTGAATGCAATATATGTTAGTGACTCATGATATTTAATAAAAACTCAAGTGAGACTTTGAGTTTCTAATTCTTCCCCTTTCCCAGGGTGGGAGGCAGGGTAAGAAACATACATACATTTCTTAAGAGTTCCAAAACCAAAAGCGTTAACAGGAAAGACATCAGCAATTGCACATTTGAATACAATCTTCCTAGTTTGGAGAACTCAGAAATCACTTAACGTAATTTAATTTCCATACCATTGACATATGATCTGGCCTAGATTGGAATTCCTCCTGGATCCATTTATGTCCCAGATTGCACACACAGTCTGTCCCCCCCATAGACATCTGTCACCACTAGATGGTGCTGTGGTGCCCCGTTCAAACAACGTTAGCACTTACTTGCAGTCTCGGTCTTCCAAGTCGAAATGAGGGTTGAAGTTGATCATAATTCTCTGGTATGGGTCGGGAGCCTGAATCAGCCATTCACATTTTTCACTTGGGTGATAAGAATGAGGATAACCAGGAGATGTAAGGTATCCAGGGCTTTCAATTTTTATAGTATCGCCACATTTATCTGTAATAAAAATAACACTTTAGTAGCTCTTTCCCTGGCAACCAATTAGGTATTCTAGCTTTGCATGTCAATCACTGGCTATTAGACATTCCATAACTTCTCATGGGGAATTCTGAGAGGTCCTTGCAGGTCCTTCAGGTGGCACTGATGGCAATATCCCACCAAGAAATGCTCTTGGATCAGGAGGAAAGTGAACTGCGATCTAAAAAGACTAGACTTCCATCCCCCCACAAACTTCTGTCCCAAGAAAAAGGTCTTCCAGTATTAAAAACATTAAACCCCTCAATGGCTGTTAACATGGTCCCCAGGGAGCGTCTTCTAGACTAAATTATCCCCCAAAGTGTAGTCACATTAAGGAGCGAGTTCTGAGTGAAAGGTGACTAAATGATGCTACTCGAGCCCTTCTGTAACTTTTGATGATAAGCCTGGTCTCTGTCATTGATCAGTGGGGATTGTCTTCCAAGACAAACCTTTTCTTTTGTTGTCTTATCTGTCCATAAATCTAAGCGATTGTGAGTTATTTCTGCCCTTGAGATTCAGATCAACACAGAACAAAGTACACCTTGTGAAGCAGGGATAATTCTACTGTACTTCTGCAAGTTGCTCAAGCTTAGAGACCAGGTCAAAATAATGGAGCAGAAAGAAAAATAAATTCGCCACACAGTATTAATTCCAATTACCTACATATTGAAAAAAATCCCACCACACTGAGCACTGGTAACACATATAGGTAAGCCCCATTCTCATATTCTGGGTAAGATGAGCTAACTTGTTTTGAGTCTTCATTTAAAAAACAAACAAGCAAGCAAACAAACAAAACCCTCAAATGCTGAAGCGATCCACTAAAAGCCAAATAAACCAGTCTCTGGGCTGTCTTCTTGTTCACCACAGATTCTCATTGTCACTTTTTATGATGGATTTCATGCTGTAGAGCCTCAGCCTGAAATGCTGCCGCATTTATTGATGCTTAATTTTGAGCAATAAAAATTCAGTGCATAAACTATTTAAGAGGGACAGGTATGAAAGCGGTGAAATATGTAAGCCTATCAATCACAAATATTCAGTAATGGTATATATAGATTTTAATATTGCATCTAATAGATTCCCTGTGGGAGAAAAATAGCATTCTTTGCTCTCAGCATGAATTTATAAATCTACAGAATTATATTACAGGAAAACCAGGTCAAATGGAAATGAAAGATGAAGTGCACATCAAAAATGCATAAAGCTACATGCATTACAGAAATCATTTCCCATAAATTAAAAAGAAGATAATATAAATTATATTGTTTTTCTCAATTGCTAGATGTTTCTGACTATGTTTCTTAGACCAGGAGTAGCCTTACACTGATCTCCTCTGCCTTGGCTTTTAAAAGCTTGAGGTTTGCCAAGAAGAAATGATGTTGCAACTGGATTTCAGAATCTCAGCTAATGATCATATTGGACTCTGCTGTGTGATTCTGCTCAGGCTCTTGCATTCTTTTAAATGTGCAGACAACTTGGAAAGTGACCCTTTCTCATTAAGTCTCCTCTAGCTCTGTATGAACATCATGACAGAGTCTGGCATCTGTTAGAGGAGTGAAATAAAACAGTACTGCTTCTAGTCACTCAACAGAGTCACTTCAGAAGACATTTAGGTGGACGCGGTACCACACCAGAGCTCTTTAATCTGAGACTTCTGAGAAAGTGACAGTGTAATAAGATAATGTGGACTCCTAGACTCGCTGGCTCTGTTCAATCTCTCTAACAGTTGATTAAGAAAGAGCAAATTCTAATGACTCTGGACCATTAGTCCTAAATAAGGTTAATGAATTAATTTAGCAGTCACTGGGACTCAGAGGAGGTGAATATGGCTTTAAGAGGTCTGCTGAGTTACAGAAGCTGTGGCCACGCAAGCATAGGCAGCATGGCTTTAACTAGTCAAGCTCACCCAGTGAAGCTTGGGTTCTTAGCATTCCCCAGATTTCTGCTAAGAAAATAAATACGCATTTATACACATAGTTCATATATACATTCATAACATATATATGTAGAGAAAGTGAGAGAGAGTTCACAACCTAAAGTCTGAAAGCTTTTTGCATTAGGTTTCAATTCCATCCTGTGAATATCTCTGCTACTGATTTAATCTCAGGAGTTGGGAAGGGTGAGTTGCTGTGATTTCTAAAGTCTAACCGCCTGACCCCCTTCAATTAGAGGGGAATGTTACTGTATCTCTACCAAATTATAGAAATATGCCACCAACTCAGGTTCGCTAATAAACTGAATCCACATTCACAATTTTGTTGGGGTATGTGTGTTTGCTTCTAAGCCTATCTTTTAGAACACTACTTAGTAGCTGTGGGGGGTTATCTATTGCTTCAATCACAAAACCTCCAAAAAGCATATTAGAGAGATTAAGTTCTGTCATAAAGACAGGATTTAAATTCCTCCTGGTCTAAACACCCTCTACTGTGGTCTCTTATTAAAACAATATACCATAGTAAGCAGTGAACGGTCTTTTCTTATAATTACTTTGATTGAAATCTGAGCCAGACAAAAGTAAATATTTGATAAGTTAGTAATAGTTGCTGACGACTCACTGTAAAGATAATTTCATATCCTTCCTTGCCTTCACACTTCACAGGGTAAATGAAACATGCCTACAACCAGCTTATTTTTTAAAATACATTATTTAGGTTACAGGATACTGTTCGTAACGCAGCACAGTCTTCCATTTACTTAACAGTGAATGGTTGTACTGGTCAGTGGAAACTGCAACTAGATTAGGGATTTTCAGATATCCTGGTGCCTTGAACTGTATATATATCGGATCCCTTTTTTGATACTATGTAGTTTTCATTCATGCTCCAGACTGTTTATGGGCGATTCACAAAGGCAGGAGAGGGAGTCCCATTAACCCACAAACCGCTATCTCGTTCAGGCATCCGCCCCCCCACTCCCCCAGAGGAAACAGTTTAGAGGGGCTGAAAGAGATCCAGGAAGTTCTGGTAAAGCCTTCATTCACTTTCAACAGCCATCCTATTTGGAAAAGGGAGTCTCCTCTAATTGCCTTTGGGAGGAAATGTTATTAAGGTAATTGGTGTGCTGATCTAGGAAGGTAGGCAGCGATGCCCTGTAACAGAGACAGGAAACCCCCCACAGCCAAACCGCCAACTTCAGGAGGGAGCCGGAGGACTTGAAATCCTCCTGCCTTAAACTGATCTGATTTCTTTATTTCTCCGCCCGCATAAAAGTTTCCTTCGCCCAAGAGGTGGTTATTCCGGGTTCATCTCGGCCGCCGCGTGAATCGTAGCTGGGCGGGAAGCCGAGCTCGGCCGGGTCGGGCAGCTGAGAGCCCCGGGCGGGCGCTGTCACGCGCGCCTCCGCCTGTCACTTACCGTTGCGAAAAGCGCTGGCCGGCGCGAGGGCCAGGGCGAGGGCGAGGGCGAGCGTGGCGCCGAGGGACTGGAGCCCCCTCTCCATTCTCCCTTCGCCGGACCCCCAGGCAGGTTCAGGAGAACGAGGACGTGGTGGGGCTGGGGGAGGGGGGAATAGAGCAAAGGGGGAATCTAAACAAGCCGAAGCGCTCCAACTCCGCCTAGAGCTGTAAAATCCTCGGTGCGTCTCGTCTCGGAGAAAGGAAAGCGGCGAGGCAATGACTTGATCCGAGAGCAATGCTTCTCTTTTTGTGTCTCAAGTCGCCTGCATCCTGTCATTTAGCTCCGGTTTCCTCTCTCTTTTCCCACACTTGTTCTTCTTCCAGGAGCCACTGCCCGGGCCATGCCTTAAAAAAGGAGGGGGGAAGGGGAGGGAGGAAAGCACACACCAAAGCCAATTTCCCGAAAAAAAAAAAAAAAAAAATCCGGCTTGTCGCTGGACCCGGTGGAGCCGAGGAGCTGGCGCCCAGGGGAGGTCCGGGGTGTCTGCGCGAAGGAGAGGAGCAAGCGGTGAGAAGGGCGAGAGGCAGAGGAGTTTCAGCAACTGCACCCCTCCCCCACCGCGTGCTCCCCTCCCCTCCTGGAGCCCTTCCCCCGCCTCCGCCCGCCCCTCTCCCCGCACTGGCTAGCAGTCAGCGTCGGGCCGGAGACGGGAGGAAGAAGTTTCCCTGGGTGTGCTTTCCCCGTCCGACTGTCCGTCTCTCCCGGAGGCCTTGCAGGGAGGGAGGGGCTGGGTCTGTGCTCGCCGCGTGTATATGTGGGTAGGGAGCATCGAGGTGGGTGCCAGCGACAGGGCAGGGCCAGCTTACCTCTGCGTGCTCGCTCGCAACCCCCGGTACAATGGGCAGCTCTCGGAGGATCTGCAGGATCCGGCCGCCGGGAGCGCAGAGCGCCCGGGAGGTGGCAGCTGCTTTCCACAACTCAGATTCCCCCACTGGCGTCCGCGGGGCGAGGAGAACAGAGCCAGCCCCTACCGCTCCCGGCTGGATCGAGACCTGTGGCAAGGAGCTGAAGGGCGCCCCTGGACGCCCCGGGCCAGGACTGCCGGGGCAGGGCGAAGAGCGAGGCTGGAGTGGAAGACGCACCCTGGCGCCGGGCGGGGGTCGGCGGTTTCGCTGCCACGTCAAATGGAGTCAGACCACCTCCTCCCTGCCCCCCGTCAGGGCGCACAGTGGGCGCCCGTCGCACCCGGCTGCCCCGAGATTTGGTATTCTCTCCTCCGGCGCAGAGGGAACGCCAGAGGACAGGAGGTGATGCCGGGGGGCGGGAGCGGGGGGGCACAGACGTCGCCCGACCCCACCCAGCCCCACGTCTCGGATCCCAGGCATACAGGGTTTATAAATGAGAGGTCCAGTGGCCCAAGTTTCTATGCATCCCAGGGGAGGAGGAGCAGTGGCGGCGACGAAAGGGGTTTGCTCTTGGCAGGGTCTTAAAGATGCCTCTTCCTGACCGCAGGCATTGTCACTATAGCTCTCTAGCTTCTGCCCTCCTTCCCTTCCCCCGGCGGCGGGCGGCGAGTTCTCGCTGCGGGCGGGATGCCCCCCAGTTCCATTACTGAGGCTTTCCCATAACCGCAGCAGAAGGCCCCTGCGGATTCGAATGGCAAAGACATTTCAGGGGAGAAATTGGTTTCGGTTACCGATTAGGTCCGTGAGTCGGGTAAATGCCCGCGGACCCCTTCCAAATTCGTGGGGAAGGTGTAAAGGTTACTACACCTTCTGAGAATTTGCCTTTTCTGTACACGACCGAAGGCAGAGCCTTATTACTAACCTGGAGGAACGAGCTGGCAGAAGAGATTTAGGAATGTTGGCAAGGAGACTCTGGTCAAAGGTTTTGGCAGAAGGACTAGGGACGGGACAGGAAAAAAGGGGCCCCAGACGCGCGGCAAGCAGGGACTCAGCACTCACGGGTAGGGGCAGGGCGGGGTGACACGCGTCCGCCGGAGTGCCCGCAGGCCGCGAGCGCTTGAAGCTGGACCCGATGCCCCGCTACTCGCCTCTTTCTTTCTGGGTCAAGCTTTTCTTCCCGCCTGCCAGCTGCAGGGAGCCCCCGCCTCCCAGCTGGGTACCCGGCCCCTTGGGCTCCGCGAGATCGCCCGGTTGCGAGCGCCTCTCTTCCTTCAGTGGGTTCCACCTTCTCTGTCCCCGGATTCCTGGGAGGCGCGGGGTGGGAAGGTGGCAGTACGAGGCTAGGAGTCCAGTGCTTGGACCGAGTGGAAGGGGTGGTGCGCAGACGTGAGCCCCGGCCCTCGAGGGCAGACGGGAGGCAATGCTGGGGCGCCAGCGGCGCCAAGGAAGGCTCCCGGGAAGCAAGGGCTGCGGAGGGAACCCCAGTACCTCCTCGCCGACCTCTCTAGCCCGGGCGCAGCCCCACCAGTCCCAGTCCGCAGCTGCCCCAGGCGAGAGGCACCATCGTAGTTGTGGTGACTCTGCTCGATCTCAGTCTAAGGATCTGAAGGAGAGGCTCCAATCAGAAACTGTCAGGTTGACAGAGCAGGGGAACCCAGTGGGTGCAACGGCGGGGGCGTCCCGGAGTCACAGATATCCGCCTTTTTTCCCAGTGATAACTGGGCGGCCCACTAGCTTCTAGAGCCAGGTTTGACCCGTCTGTGCCGCGGAGGGGTGAGCGAGGGGACACACGCGGGGAGACCTGAGCTGCGTGGTTTTTAGAAAACTATCGCCAATCTCTGTTCCCCTTTCCATGCTGGGTGTGCATTTCCCAGCCTGGACTCAGCCAGCTAACATAATAAAGCCACCAGATCTTTTACTCAGACACAGACGGCTCCAACTCCGCAATTTGGGATCCTTGGGCTCCCTCCCACCTGTCTCCAGGAAGGGCTTCTCCAGCGAGCAGATAGATCCCTGTGCAGAAGATACCTTTCTTGCTCACCAGCAGAGCACTTTTGCCTCGCTTTCTCGAATCAACTAATAAAACATGCACTATGTTCTCTGGGGGAAAATATTATATTTAAGTTCTACCTCAGATTTTTCTTGTCTTGCCTGATCTGAGTCCGTTGCTAGAGTCCTTGTTTCCACACAGCACTAGGTAATGGAGCCCTGCAGCACTGATTGATCATTGCTGGCTAGTGGGTTGCTGTGGAGGGCAGGACCAACAAAATGGCATTGGTCCCATCAAGATAGCATAAAGCATAGAAAACAAAGTGGAGTCACTCATATCAACCAAGATGGCTGCTGGTCAGCCATAACATGTTGGTTAAAGAGGGAAACTCCTTGAGTGATGCTAGACACATCTGGCAAGGAGACACACCCAAGATACCTGCACATGTGATCAGAACAGCCACTGTCTGAAGAGCAGGACCCCCCATAAAGAGGCTTCTGGGGAAATTCCCCACTCCCATCAGGGGTGCCATGGCACTTATCAAAGGACCCAGAAGGGTGAAAGTACACCACTTCCAAGGTATAACCGAGACAGGTTCCAAATCACTACTGAGACAGCTGAGCTCCACACACCAGAGTGCTGCTCCATGCCATGCTGACCTGCCTTGGCATCTGTCACCTGAGGCTCTGCCCTGCTGGATGAAGGACTTCATCTGCCCTGTTGCCCTCTTGGCTCCAGAAGTCCTTTCTTGCAAGACACTGAAGACTCCCTTTCCCACTGTGCTGTCTCCCAGACCTGCAGACTGAGACTCTGAGACTCAGGTTCATTATTCCCCATTGATAACTCTGTGTGTATGTGTGTGTGTGTGTGTGTGTGTGTGTGTGTGTGTGTGTATTATACTTCTCTTAGATTGTTAGAGTGTGAGTGACGATTAATGTATGTTGATGTTCTATTTTGAGTGAACCTGCATTCAACAAAAGCTGGGTGAATAGCATAGTTACCTCGTGTGACTCTTGTCTATTCCTTGGTGCTGGGCTGCTCAGCAGGCAGCTAGCCAAACAGTTGCCTGGCTGACTTATGGAAAAGACTATATCATGAACATACACTTGTGACAGTTAGTATAGAGCAAATTGTCCTTGCTAATGACATTTTACTTCTGCTGTTAGATTCCGCTAACTGCTGAAAAGGGTCAATTTTGGATTTCTGCAGTCCTTCAGCAGCAGAGACAGACCCACCTTAATAGGAGAATAAGTGATAGAAGAAACATTTGTCAGGATTTCTGAGTTGATTTTATTTTGGACTCATGAACATACCATTCTTCTTGACATCACAAATTCCCAGACTAGACAGGGCCCAGTTCCAATGAAGGAAATATTCACAGGCCACACCTCAGGACGCCAGGCAGAGGCCCTGAGTGACACATGCAGAGGCTGCTGCGGGGACTGAGGTCCCGGAAAGGAAACTGGCCCTTCCTTAAGAATAGACTGGGTGGTAAATATGATTCTTTTCATCAACTTCTCTCCAATTTGTCAAAATTAAGATGAGACTTATTGCTCCCAGAAGGCCATTTGAGCTAGTAACTTCCTCAAAGTACTTCTGATTGATGCAACATGGAGATTCAGGTTGGTATTTCAAAGCAGTATCAAGTTTAAACAATTTTTTCAAAGCACCAAACCCACATATTTCAGAAAAGCAATAAAATGAAGCTGAAAAAAGATTAAAAATTGGAATTTAAATTAATTTACTATTACTTAAAATAATTTTATTAAAATGGCACTTCCATCACATGACTCTATCATTCAAGAGGTATTTTTTGGATCCCACTTATGACTACCTCCTTAATTTGGATTGGCAGAGGAAGAAAGAAAATAAACACAAACTTTTATTCTCTGATCTTTCATTTTCAGCCCTTTCAAAGTTACTTTGAAAATTTTTCAAATATTGGAGAGAAGACTGCCATCTAGATATTTGTCTCATTTAGTCACTTGTTTTACTTCTTTTTTGTTGACACTATTAGAGATGCCCCCATTTCTGCCCCTCCCTTTGCCAACTTCCATGCAGTCGGCAGCCCCCTTCCTGTGACCATCACCCCAAAATTATCTATGTCTATGGGTTATTCATATATGTTCTTTGGCTAACCTTTCATCCAGGATCCCCTACCCAATACTCCCTTACCCTCTGACAGCTGTTAGTCTGTTATTCCATGTATCTATGTCTCTGTTTCTATTTTGTTCTTCAGTTTATTTTATTCATTAGGTTCCACATATAAGTGAGAGTATATGGTATTTGTCTTTCTCTGACTGGCTTATTTCACTTAACATAATAATGTACAGGTCCATCCATGCTGTTGCAAAAGGTAAGATTTCCTTCTTTTTACTGCCGCATAGTATTCCATTGTGTAAATGTATTGAAGCTTTTTTACCCTGGGAGAAAATACGGGCAGTGAAATCTCAGACATTTCTTATACCCATATTTTGCCAATATGTCTCCTAGGGCAAGGGAAACAAAGGGAACTAAAAAGCAAATGGGTCTACATCAAACTAAGAAAGTTTCTGCACAGCAAAGGAAACCATCAACAAAATTAAAAGGAGACCTACTATAAGAGAGAACATATTTGCCAATGATACATCTGATAAGGGGTTCATTTCCAAAATACATAAAACACTTATACAACTCAACACCAGGAAGGAAAACAATCCAATTAAAAAACTGGGCAAAGGACCTGAATAGACACTTCTCCAAAGAGGGCATACAGATGGCCAACAGACATATAAAAATGCTCAACTGTCACTAATCATCAGAGAAATGCAAATTAAAACCAGAATGAGATATCACTTCACACCTGCCAGAATGACTATCACCAATAAATCAACAAAGAACAAGTGCTGGCGAGGATGTGGAGAAAAGGGAACCTTAGTGCACTGTTGCTGGGAATGCAGACTGGTGCAGACACTCTGGAAAACAGTAGGAAGTTTCCTAAAAAATTAAAAATGGATTTGCCTTTTACTCAGTGATTCCGCTTCTGGGAATATATTCAAAGAAACCCGAAACACCAATTCAAAAGAATATATGCACCCATATGTTCATAGCAGCATTATTTACAATAACCAA